TTCTAGGGGAGGCTAAGACCTCTGTAGGGGGTGGGGGCTGAGCCCCAAGCCTCCGCCCTCCTGGTTACGCTCCTAGTATAAATACTATTTCAGGAGAAAACATCACTCTAACTTTCATAAATGGGAAGACTCTGCAGGAAGTGAGCATTGATTTATATTTGCTAGCTAGATTCTCTTAGGAACACTTAATTCTGTTAGTAATTCAAAATTCCTATTCCTCAATATAATCGCTAAGGTGATGAAAGGTTCGGTGGTTTCGTTTGACTTATTTCTTTTTTTTTGTTCTTACTTATATTCTATTTATAATCAAGGTTGGCAAACTGAAGAAGTAGCATTACTGAAAATCTTCATATGGATGTTGTTAGGTTTTAAACTTGTATAACTCAATATATTATAGAAGTAAGATCACTTTACAACTACTACTTAGTATCTTTCTTGTTTATCCAAATAGAAGCACACCTACCTATATTGTGATGAATAATATGGCATGTTAGAAATATTCCCAAAAGATACACGCGAAAATCCTATCGTGCGCTAAGATTATAAAATATCAAACGAATGTTAATATAGAAAAATACCTAGCTATAGAACAGAAAGGAACGCGAAGATCATATTTATATTCAATAAACAGTATAATAAAAAAAAATGATATTACTACTTCGCAATGTTTACTGCGCTACTTCACCACTCCAGTTGTTACTAATTTCACATAGAGATATAGTGAGCAAACAAATATTATCGTTCATCAAGTCAGAGAGTCTACCAAAGCTGACAAAATTTTTCGAAAACCTATTTAGACCCACAATAAGGAAGAGAAATCAAGAAAACGTGGACGCGTTTGGATGACAATCGGAGCTGCCTATTCTAAGCTAAACAGGCCCATTTTTGCCATTCTTGTTCATTTGAACGCGTTTTCAGACAAAACACACTTGTAAATGCATAAAAAAAGATAAAAAGTGGTCACGCTTTTCATAGGCGTTATCTGTGATGGGATAAATAATTCTGGCTCTTTAGGATGAGAAAAAGATTACCCTTTTCTCTCTTTTTTTTAGTGCATTAATATCTGTCTTTTGACTGGGAACGCATTTAAACGCACGCGAAGGAAAATAAATGGAAATCTTTCGTCCTCAGTAGGCAACCTCGATTGCCATCCAAATATATCCACCTTCCATCGATTGCTCTTCCTTTTTTGTGTGTTTAAACGCTTTTTCGAAAACTTTGATCTGCTTAAATGGTAATGATTGATTGAATGCTTCTATATCGTTAAATCGATGGAAGATGAAGATAGATCCTTTCCGTGTCATTGGCACACTCAATTCTTGGAAACTATTAAAACAATACCGTTACTAATCAAAAAAACACTGCAAAATGCATTCTGACTGATGAAAAATCACACATGCAGAGTCTTTTTTTTCGTCTAATTATGCATTAGTTTTCTATGTGGTACCAACGAGCGGGAAACGAAAACTATCTTTGAATAAATATCAGCTTTACTTCGGTCAATCAAAAGTGTATTGAGACTTAGTATTGCGTTTTGTATTTTTGTGGCATTATGTAAATTTGTAACGCTTGTATTTCAGCTATTTTATTATATCTACACGTATCCCAATGCATTAGCAAGATTGTTAACGCTCAGAGATTGCACCATAGATTGAACACTGCCAGTTGAATCAACCGAGAAAGAAACGTAAAATCTATTTTCTGATTTATATTTATTAAACTAAATTTTAGTAGTTTTATGAATCTCGATGGATGCTACAGACATTTTCTTTGACTATTCATTTATCAGCGTTTATCATGAAATGCAAACAAATTCTTTGCAGTCCAATGATAGAAGAGATTTTATGAACTTCTCAAATTTGTACTAATTGCTTTCCTGAACAACTTTTTCATTTATTTTCTTCTCTGATACAGTTAGCTAAATAAAATAATCTTTGTCGGCATTGGATTATAAGAAACAATATAGAAAACAATTGTTAAAATTGCTTGGGTACAATTACAAATCTTCTTGTTTATCAGTTGAGTTGAGCACGAAAATTAAATCGATCTGGCGGGGCAGCATCACCATTTAGCGTGAAGTCAGTCCATGTACCGTCTTGCTGTATATTATCTGCCCATTTGAAATCAATAGTAACGGATGATGGTTTAATTCCTAATAATTGACGAGATAACATTAATTCTAGTTCTTTACCTTTCATAGCATACGGGATATCGGCCACTTTCCCCCATTCATATGAGTCACTGGCAATATTACGTTCAAGAGATGTTTCTTGAGCAGATGTAACAGCTCTGTTCAATACGAAATCGTAGCCAAGCCAACCCGTAGTATAATTAGTATCGACATTAAGAAATAATAGCATCCAATTAGAATCTGTATAGTTTGTAGTTAGATTATTAGTGCGTACATAAAAGTAAATGTAATCTTCGTTATAACTAACTTTCGTTTCGACAATGTCATTTCTTCCGGTATGATTTACGTAGGGCCCTGCTGTGCCATATCCACGATAATCACGCCATACAGGTGTTCCTGGATCTGTTGCAAAACTAGGTTGTACTGGTGTCCAGTCATCAAAATTACCATCAATTTTAATTGAACTTGGTTTAACAGGAATCAATGGTCGAACACCTTTGTAGCGTCGAACATAATCGACTAATTGATAGTAATAATTATCACCATGACCTTCCATCATGGGTTCAATATCTCGACTAAATTCTTGTATAAATTCATCAACGAAAATAACTGGTGGCGATTCCCATCGACTCCATGCATCATACTTTCCTGCTGTCCATTCATTCCAGCCAGTAACAAAAATAAAAAGAGGATCAATGTCTAATGCACGCTCCCATTGTTCGGCAAAATTAAATCCCCAATTAACTGCATCAGTTTGGTTATCCATAGAATTGTTATGATAGCTTCGACCAAAAGCACCTGGCCAACTCATTGGTGCAGTGCTATTATATTGTAATGTATTATAATTCTGAGCAACACCTACAGCTACTTCTTCTTTTTCTCCATCACTGTTCGGAAAAACATGTTGTGGATATATTTCAAGCCATGCCCATTGGTCAGGGCCCGTAGGACCTTGATTATAAGGTCCAATATTACGACGCAGCGTAAAAAATTGACGTATATCATCATCAACATATTCTGGATCAGCTAGCATTAATGGTTTACCTTTCCATCGAAACCATAGATCTGAATATGATCCATTAGCATACAAATCCTCATACAACGCACGTACTGTTTTTCTTCCAATATCTCCTGGATTACCAAATGGACAAAGAAAAGCAATATGTGGTGTTCGTCCTCCCTTCTTTCTAATATCAGTATAGATTGAACAAAGTCTTTGATAACTATCTCGATAGGTTACGGCATTCGAAACATCAAAAATAATGACATCAACACCTGCATTAGCAATCATTGAGGCATGCTTACGAAGAATGAAATCATCATCAATAACATAATAACCAAAGAGACTTTCACCCCAATGATGAGACGTGTAAAGTGGTCCCCAATAAGGACTATTTATATCGTAAAGTGCTTCTGGGTGTGCTTTGAGAATTTTCGATACATCATAAGGTCCATTTGATACTCCATCATTACCTAGTGTTAAAAAATAGAAAATGCCAACCGTACGATTAGCACGTGGCGGTCCAACTTGTGTTATATTTGGCAGAGCTCGACCAAGATCATCGACTGCTACCCATGTATCACTTTGAACATCTTGTTGACTTGAACACAGATAAGGGAAAATAAAAATGTAAAAAACTATCAACAGATATACTCTACTCATATTAAGTATAACACGAAGAAAAGGAGACAAAATTATAATATACTACGATTATGAACGAATTTTTATTAGATAAGATAAAGAACATTGTATTATTCGTGTGCTAAAAGATAAGACAAAACAAAAGTACGCAATAGTCACTTGTCTGTCTTTTCTATTATTGACTGTGGCATATTATTCGGTAAAGAGAACAAGGAAAAATTCAAATATTTCATGATTCTTGATAACAATAAATAATCATCATAGATATCATCCAAGTGAAAAAAAAACTGTCAACGAATGTATTTTAAAGTAATTAAATGCTCGAATTCGTGGATAAAAAAGTCTGTATATTTTGATTGATGACAAGTATTTTGAGCTAAGATTCACAATGAAGTAACATCCCTTACAAATGTAAGTGTATATCGTTTTATGCATCGTCTTATTCAGAAATATAAAATATAGGTTGTATAGTTATTTTTAAATTACTTTTTCGAATTCTACTGAAGATATGTTTTATCGAACATAAAGTAAATCATTTCGATTTCGATTATTATGTATTTTAGTCTGAGCAAAAATTAAAATTTTTGTTTTGCTCATAGATATCCAAGCAGAAAAACTAATGAAACAAAGCGAACAGTTAGCGAAGACTTGAGCACTGAATAAAATTTGAGAAAGTATGAAATACTTGACGGATGAATAAAACCTGGTACTCTATAAATATTTAGATATCTTAATTTAAATCTTTTGAGAGTTATCAATGTATTAGAACGACGAGCTATACTCCTACTAATGCAAAATGATTACATTACTACGAAATTAACAAATAAATACGATTCAATACTCGAAAATCGCTTACAAGTGATTAGAATGTTTTTTGAAATATTTAAATCTATTCATTATGTCGCTACTTATTCTCTTCTAAATTTTGACAAAAAATAATTACGAGTTGTATGTTTTTCATGATTTTGAAATCTGAGAAAGCTTGGACAGATTCCTTTCAAAATCTTGAATGCATATTTATTAGATACGATACAAATATAAAAAATCGAAATATATTTTAAATTTTGTCAATACGATCATTCGTACAATATATTCCAGTCACGAGGGAACGATTTCACAGGTGAGAGCGTTCCCTCGTCAGTTAGTATTTAGAGTCAATTTAAGTAAGTCAAAAAACATTTCTATGAGTTGTTCCATGAAGTTGAGAAAAAGCTACGTCGAACAGTACGAGCATTGATCGATTGCATCACCCGATAGTTACTTGTGATGATATTTTTGCGAAAGTGATTCGATGAGGTATCTTTTACGTGCATGTTACTCGAAACTAGTATCCAAATAGCATCTTCTGTTAATGGTTCTGTTGTGAAACTACCCATATAGTGAATGAATCGATCATGCTTTTCTTTTATTAATGATGACAAGCCGCTTGCTATTGTAATATTAGTGTTGTTAGCGAATTTCTGTATAACATAGTCCCAACCATTTGTCTCATCATTATTCTCTTGTGATTGAGAATCGGCTAGTTTAAAGAAGTATGCAAAAACCGCTGTTTCATTTGTATCTAAATTTTTGTGAATGAAATAAGCTTCAGCAATATAATTTACCTTGGAAAATCTATGTTCAGACTTTGACCAATGAAGATCTGCATTTTGAAATGTAAAGAAGTCTGTAAGACAACCACCACTAACGATCAATGGTTTCGAATTTGTAAGGATGGGCATAATTGAAATGGTTTCACCATTACGATTAAATGCACGAAACGCTGTAAATTCACGATCGCCGATTGAAAATAGAAATGATGGATATTCAACATACTTGGTTTCAGAGAGATTGGCCAAGATGGGTGATTGAGAATTTCCAGTTGGAATTATCGCTTGTCGATTCTGTCGCAATACAAACGAATGACTCTCAGAAAAAAGAAGAAACATAACAAAAACAGTCACCGATGTCATTACAGTGGACACAAATGAGCAATGAATGATTGACCTCTAATTACAATCATTGATTGCAGTTTATATATCATGAGAATTTGTTTGTCTTTTCGGTACAAACATATGGTCTGACTAAAGTTTGAATAAAAAATTCAAATGTGTTTGCTTGATTCATGATCAGTATTGTGGTGAAAAAATTAGGGTGCAAGATTACGCAACATGTCAGTAAGAGAAGAACGTTAATTAAGAAAAAGTACAAAAAGGTCATGCTGCAAAGCCAATTAACACGAGAAGTCAGATTTTTTTCGATCGAGTCTCAAAATAATATAGTAATATGTTTGCAGTACAAAAATATGCATTTAAAATGTAATGATCAATAACTACAGTCGTTTATGTAACAGAGGACAAGTAGTAACATCATGTTTTGTTAACTCTAAAAACATATTTTCAAATTGTTCAAATCAATCGTATCTCACTAGGATGTCTAATGATTGTAAGTGTCTATAGAAAGTTTAGATCATTTTTTCTTTTAGATTGTGGCTAAGTTCATATTTATGATTTTCTACTGAAATCAGAATAGCACTTTCAAACAATATTTTAATAGGCTGCAACATATCACTGATCATTCTTTGTAACAAAATTCTATCGTAGTGGATAGATCTGAATACATGATTATGTGTAGATTTTGTGCTAATGACGGATAGAAGAGAAAAACAGCTGCGCAATGCTTAGAGGACGACTACGATGAAACGAAGCTTTTAGACCTTTTCAAACTCAAAAATAAATAAAGTCACTGAAGCCCCTTAAGCTCCTTCTGTGTAATCAAGTATAGAGCACTACAAGTCAAACACTGGTAAAAATGTAGAACTTTCAGAAGTTAAAGTAATTTTGTCATCGTAGAATTAAACAAGTTGACATATCATGAGTGCACTGTGTATATCTGAAAATTCTATGTTCATATAAGTACGAATGATTTTAAAAATTTTCCAAAGTGCTTCTCAGTAATTAATCGAATGCGAATTATAATGGGCTCATTATTAAACATTAGTCATATGAAAACTATTGCATGTAGTTAAACTTCATTGATTTTATGGACTTTTGAATAGAACCATCTTATCATAATTTCATGTCTTTCTTTCATTTTAGCTTTTCACAGTTGATCACTTCATCGGTTTCACTTTGCATCAAATCCAATTTCTATTCGTGGCTATTCCTTGTGAGATAGTTTATTTCTTTTACTCAATTGATGTTTACATATGTCCTTATAATTTCTCCGCGAAAACAATACAAAGGAGGAAGAACTGCACACGTCTGTTCGACAACAATGAACGAGGCTTATACCTGTTTTAATATTTCATGATTCGTAAACAGAGTCGGAGTACCACACTACTAGACATTCTTTAATTATAATGATGAGAACTGCAAGCTTGATTATCATAGAAAAGCATCCGAAGTCATCGGTTGATAAGACTTAGTTAGCAATGATCTATTTAAAATACAAATATATTCTATAAAAACTTAAATTATTTTAAGTGTTTAACTTTGTTTTTCTTTTCAATTCGCTTTCAAACTAATGTGCACATGAATGAGCAAAGCCTATCGGGCATATTTATTTGTCACTGAAACGAGCACAAAGTTCTGATCTAAAGAATATTGATTCTAACTGTGACTTTTACACGAAAATGTTCGTGTGAAATATTTAGCAGATTATGAATTCATTTTTAAGATAAATAATGAACGAAAAGTTTCGGCGTTTTTAACCACAACTGAGCGCCATCTGTTACATTATTCGTGTTCAAATTTCGTGAAATGAGGGTGTTTCGATGCATGTTAAAATTGGCATGGTATCGAAACTATAGTTTCTAGTCTTCTTGATTGATTTTAAAATTTTAATTATACGTGATGGGTCCAAAAAAAGCTGATAATATAAGTAAAACTCGAAGACTATCACAAAATGCTTTAACAACAACAGAAGATCATGGTTGTTCTTAGATTTAATTTTCGATTTGTTTTTCTAATCAGTACTTGAAATTCTCTATAGAAAATCAGCAATGCGTCGGCAAATTTTCGACTGATTTGGAATTTTGTTGCCGTGAACCATCTTCAGGTTATTCTACCAGTATTCCGGTGTACATTCGTGGTCATCCACCACCTTCATCACAAATGCATTCGGTTTCACAACAATCAGGTACGCCTTCAGGAGTGTCTGCCACGCCATCACTTGTTGTTGTTGGTGGTGCTGCTGCTGCTGCTGCTGCTGAAGAACAGGTACCATCACAAGTCAAACGATTATCACGTGGAAGAATTCCTTCTATCAGTCAAAGTGGAATTTTAGCCGGTATCGACAATGATAACAAATCGCTCAGTATTCTAGGTAAATAAAAATAAAAATAAAGCAAAACTTTTAAATATACGACAGGTCAAGACCCAACGAAATCGTCCTCATCATATTATAAGACATTTCATCTCATACGTGATAGTGAGTTCTTTCGTCCCAAATTATTAGTAGATTCAATTGGGAATGAAAATGAACCAATCGATCAAATAACTGCTCTTTATATGAGAGGTATTTGCATGAATTTATCTTCTTAGCTGATTAAATGAACTTTTGTGCATCTTTTGAGCATGGCGACTCGATCAACGTTTTATTGATATTTTGAAAAAGATACTTCCTTTACAAGAACAATTGCATACTCTCAAGTATATTTTGATCAATCGTATTTCGCATATATATTTCTTTATATGGATTGTTCATCAAAATAGTTTCTGCTTCGTTGGCTTGAATGAACAAACTATGTTTGGATTTGTAGAAGTTTGCCAATTGATCAAAAATCTAAAGTAGAAAATTTCAAACATAAAAGATGAAAATTAATTTATTGATTATTTAATCTAAAGAACTGTTTCACTCGATGGAAATCCATTAGCTGCAAACTATTTTCATACATTAATTGAAAAAGATGACTTAAAGTGAAGTCGATGCATTTTCTTTTCTTTCATCATATTAGGATTTAACTTTTTTTTTTATAGAATTGCGAATTTATCTCTTCGTTTTTGTAATATAACAGATAGAGGTGCAGAACGTCTTGCTCATTCTCTTGGAAATATGTCAGTTCAAAATTGGAAATTATTGACGTTAACTTTAACCGGTAATCAAATCGGTGATGATGGTGCAAAATCATTGGCAAAAGTAAATTCTATAATAATTGTATTCGATGAAAAAATATCGATTATTTTCAGGCATTACGTTATAATCGCACATTAATTTCTTTGAATCTTTCATCGAATTTTATCACTGATAAAGGTGCTTGTGTCATTGCATTAGTGAGTAATTTATTCGATTTCAATTGTAAAAGATAATAACCATATTCATTTAGCTTTATATCGGGTAGGTTTTAGATAAATATTATATTCCCTCTTTATATGTTTTTTTATTCTCTGCCTAATGACTTTATTTGATAGAAAATTACACTCGTATTATATCAAATATAGTCAAAAATAATGTTGTTCTAAATAATAAGTCAGTATTTTATAGGTCTTACGGAAAATTTCTCTTACAGAAGAAGAGATTATGCAGAGAAGACATTTATTATCTGAACGTTACGATGATACACATTTTGAGGACATCAGAAATAATGTAAGAAATAATTATTATCTAGAACAAGAAGCTACATTGTTTCAGTTTAGGCTCCATCGCCAACTCTTTCAACTATATCAACAAAAAGTAGATCGGGTCGTGATAACCGTACTGATTCAAAACGTCAATCAGATCCGAGTAAACGTCGTAAATCCATTTCAACAAAGCCTACAGTATATACAGTGTCACTATAACACACGTGAATATTTTTCTTTTTTTTAAGGATAAACGCCATCGAGCTGAATCTGGTAGTTAATATATTCAATGGCTGTTTAATCTGTGAAACTTTTTGCTTAAGATGAAAATCATCCATCATCAGATAGTAAAAGTGATCAAAAGAAAGGAAAAACAGATGGCGTTACTGCTCGATCAGCATCAGTTAATACTCGCCGTTCATCAGGTGGTGTATTTGATAACTTTCCTTTTTCAATAGAAAAAGAAAATAACATTTTTCTAATTAGAACCAGGAAAAGCAGCTACAAATGCTCGTAAAAAGAAATTAGTACCGGGTGCCGGCAATACATCGAAGAAAAATATCTCAATGGTTAAAGAAGAAGATGAAGATGCAATTGACGAAGTAATTGCTTTCAATTTATTGACATACGCATTCGAGTAGCCCTTTGAGTTTGTCGAAAATCGAAACAATATCTTTGAGACAGAATTGATCATATATTGTTTTCGAATTTATATTTGTCGATATCTATCAAAATTAGAAAATACTGGGAATGATTCAGTTTAAATAGCTTACAGAATAAAAATGTACTAATACAATAATTGATCAGAACCCGTTGAATGTTATAAAATTTCATCTAGTCTCATTAAAATGTCTCGTTGAGTTATATAAAAAAGAATCAAACAGTATCACGAAATTTTATTTATTCATTTCTAAATAGATTTCATCATACTCATAAGTTTCTTGGTGAAATATATCTTCAGTAGTATTTTGAGAGTTAAGATTCGTTGTACGAGTCAAACGAGTTGACCGATAATTTGATTGATGGCAGGTATTGATTCGAAATAATTCAATTTTTTATGTACGAGACTAGAAATGAATAATAAAAAGCACCTATGGATATATAGTAGGTGATAAAAGATGAATTCATATCAAAGATCCTTTGCCTTGCTCAACCTATCATAGTTAATCTCATTTATCAGGAACGTATACAGTTAAATGAGTTTCTCTTAATATTTATCTTGGACTCCGCTACAAGAAATCGTCGAATGGTTCTCCCTATTAAGTTTTCCTGAAATGCAGATGTATGATTTTTTCCATCGGTCTACTAACAATATCAATACTAATAATACTAATATCGATATCAACAATACTAAATTGTATTGGTATTGGCAATATTCGAATTCTCACATCCCTACTTAGACTATCAGAAGGATCATTTCAATAAGAAGAACCATTCGACGATTTCCTGTAGCTGAGTCCAAGAGAAATATTAATAAAGGCTGATTTAATTGTATGCTTTCCTGATAAATAAGATTATCTATGATAGATTGAGGAAGAGACGATAAACCTTTGAAATAAAATCGTTTATTATTATCTATCTATAGGTACTATGTATTATTCATTTCTATGCTTTAAAGGATACGAATGAGTAGATCTTCGAATTCCAGTATGACCGAATACCGGGTACGACCGAAACTTGGTACGACCGAACCCGGTTAGTATCGAACCCGAGTAGTTCGGGTTCGGTGCATGCCTAACTGTAAATATGATATCATATTAAAGCACATCCTGAAAATGTTTAGAATGCGTTGATGCAGAAGTTAGTAAATCATAATATTTTGAATGTTCAAGCATGAAATATTATTTTTCTTTTTTCTTTTCTACAAAGAAGTTGATGCTTCTATTTGTAAAAGACTTCATTATACATTTCAGTGATTGAATGCAAATTTCTGAAATAATACCAAATTGATATGCTCTCCTGTAGTTGTTCTTTTAAGTAAAAGCAGAGAATTATGTATAAAATAAATCCCATTTTAATTTTTACATATGGAAGAAGATAGGCAGTATTACTTTTCTAATATCAATGATAATGATTAACAACACTATTTAAATATTTAGATTATACATACAAGATAATAAACTGATAATCAGTCAAATTGATTAAATTAAAGCAGAGTTATTTCAAAGCTTTATCATAATGTTCCTAATGTTTAATTCTATAATGCCAATTGAAAATTTCAAAACTCTGCGAAATTAACAAAAAGAAACGGTCATCAGCCGCTATTCTATATGTTGTAGGTCAATGCAAGACTGATCTATCTTGTATTGGTCTAGGACATACATGCATCATATTAGATCATTCTTCTTCTTCTTCTTATTCTTCTTCTTCTTCTTCTTCTTCGTCTATTTTATTATAGATTTCATAAACAGGGTTGCCACCTCATCAGGTCAGAAAAGCGGAAAGTTTGATCAAAAAGAGCGGGAAATAACGGAAAATAGCGGAAACAAAAATAGAAAAAACGGAAAGCTGCTTTTTGCTGACCTTTCACATTTCCAAGAGTTTAAGTAACCTTGTTTTATTGCTCATAGTACTACTTTGTTCGCAGTTCCACAACATAATAGACAACTCATAAAAAATATCAGGGCGTACCTGGCCTGAAACTCCAAGAAGAAAAGATAAACGATTTCCGGTCCAAAAATAAATATATTTTTTCTGTCAATTCTTTTTCTACTCATCTTTTCTAAAAGTGCCATACAGGGAAAATGTTTGTATCGTCCCAAAAAATGTTCGTTTTGTGATAGTGAAATGGCCGTATTGCGACTGTCAGTTCACTATTTTTCGCAGAGAATATACCACCGAAGGCGGCTCTTTTTTGGCACAGCACTTTAAAAGTTTATGCGAAAAGATGCAATCGAAAAAACTGAAACTCATTTTTCAGAGTAATAGAACAAAAAATATATATTCCTTTCCACATATAGCCGCCGAATGCGACTCCTTTTTGGCACAAATTAAAACATTGACCCGAAAAACGTACAATCCAAAAAATAAAGCTCGCTTTTTACAAGTCTAAGAGGATAATGTTGTTCTTTACATTCAGCTGTCGAATGTGGCTATGCTTTCATCTATTATATTAACAAATGAATAAGAACTTGAAAGAAATTTTCTTTTCTTCACTGGCATTTCAAATCCAGGTGAATGTATTTCATAGTGGAGGCCAAAATGAACACGAAATGTGTTTCACTAGAAAAATTTATTGGAAAATCTATCATGTGAAGCGAAAATTTTTCAAGAATTGTATAGAATTATACGTTAGAAAATTATTTTCCAAGAAATTTTCGTCTAACATCACGTTATCTAGTTTCTTGCATGGTTAAATTTTCAATTAAACAACGAAAGTCTTTTATATGAAAAAGCGGAAAAAAAGCGGAAGAGGTGGCAACCCTGTTCATAAAGTTAATTCTCAATTTAATTCTACCAGCCATTTGATTATATTCGCAAAATTGGAAAAGAATTAGATAAAATTAGTTAATAGAAAATACGGATAAAATTATTCAATATCGATTCTTAGGAATATCAAACTACTGTCTGATACTTGACCGAAAAATCGATACAATATATTGATCTCTCAGACATCATGTCTATGCATGCAATGGTAAGCCACTGCGCGCATCATAAAAAGCGAGTGAGGATCGGTTTGATACCCTCACTAATTTTTATTAGCATAAATAATGTAAAACACCAATCATTATTATCGCTTTATCACCTACCCACTGATCTTAACAGTCATGCTTGGTAGTGCACTATTCATCGCTTTATTTTCTATTCTTTTATTTAAAACCTAGAAGAAAAAAACATTTCTCATTATCTTAGGGCCGTCAATCTATATTATCTTTACCAGGAAAAGTATTCTATTTTACGCATGCCTTCTTCTACTTTTTGCTCGCTCGTATACTTTCGTTTACCAACTATTGATAAAATCTATTCTTGTAGTTACTTCCTATTCCAATGCAGAATATTGAACGTGAAAATCCAATATTAGAACTGAATGAATTTGAATCACGTAATGGTGAAATAATTCTAAAAGGAAATTTAGTTCTTTTAAATTTGAATCTATCTCGTATGTTAACAAATTATTTCAAAACCTTTAAAGAAATATGTTTAATTAATTTTTGATTTTTCTTATCCCAGGAAATTATTTAACTTCAACCAGTGTTAATGAATTTCTTATTTCAATTCAATATCAAGCACGATTTATAAATACTAATGATACACCACATACTACATCAACATCTTCTGCATCAGTAGATTTTGCCGGTCTTTGTCGATTGGAACTAAAAGTATGCATTTTTATTATTCTATCGTAGATTAGTTTATAAAAATTTTCATATCAGGGTATGAATGATGTATCAACAAAATCTGCTAATTATCGATCATTGGAAACGCTTCTTACTCAAAGAAACCCATCGACTCGTCTTCAACGAATCAAAGACCGTGACGCAAAAGAATTAATGGATCAACAACACCAAACTATTCAAGTTTCGCAACAGATTGTACCAGAAAAAACACGTGCTTCATCGAGTACTAAATCGACAAGTCAGTTGATCATACTGTAAAATTTGATTTAATAATATAGTTATTTTATGTCTCTAGGTCAACGGCCAACATCACGATTGAAAGATGGACATTGATTTTCTTTTCTTTGATATTGAATAAATAATGAAAACGAAATTTATTTTTTTCCTTTTTTTTTTGTTTGTAGATTTTTTTAAAAGAAATAAAAAGAAAATGTCGGCTCTGACGAAATCTTATGCTGATACGAAAATAAAAAATCGACGTATAATGATGTTTGCCAAATCCAATGATCCCGATTCACAAATAGCTCGCGAAATATTTGCAGAATATTCTTTACCTAAAGGTAAATTAAAAACAAAAGAAACAATTAAATAACATTTTTTTGTTGTTGCTTCAGATGCATATGAATACGTTGATATAGAGAAACGGCAAGACTGTAGACAATTAGAAAATTATTTTCGATATCTTTGCTTTACTGATCGCCGAAAAGTATTTAAGAGACTCAAGAAAAATAAAACAAAGAAAAACAATTTCTTGTTTTTTTCATTCTAGAGTCCATATATTTTCATCAATCAACTTTACTTTGGCTCTTTATTTGAATTAAATATTTGTCATAAAAATGGTTCATTAAGACAAGTGTTGTCTTAAAAGACGAATGAAAATTGACATTCAATCAATGAATACTGTCTAATGCCTTTTAAGTGGACTAAACAAGAGTTTATGAACATAACCTATTTTCGATTTTTCTTCAATATTGTTCTGAAGTTATTGTTTTTCTAATCCTATTCGAATTAATCTTCACAAATTTGACGATGCAAATGAACTATAAAGTAATTCATAAATTCTATATTTTTCAGCAAAGATTAACATGCAAGATCTATCTCGAAATATAGTTGAGTGTAGCAATGCTCAGAAGCACTGATATTCTCACAATCAATCTGTAGAAGTTTATTGAAACTTACTAACGTTTAAATTTAAATTCGTGTACACCTTATTACCTAGTAGATCTCGAAAAAACTATTGGTAAAAGCTCGACGGAAACTAAATTAATTTAGATCTCATTTTTATTTCAAATTACTGAGTAACTCATTTGCATCGTGTAGTGCTTTTTGGAATTTCAAACAACGTAGCATTCCAATTTTTCGTGATGAAATGCTATGATATATCATATGTCCCGGTCTTTTAACTATATTATGTTTTTTCTTTCAAGAGCATAGATACAGCTATCGAAATACGTGAATCTTATTAGACTTTCAAGTTTTTTAAACAGTCAATAAATATATTTATTTTTTTATGTCTTTTATCCGATGTCTTAAAAATGGATTAGTAGATAATTGTTTGTTTTATACAATAGATACTAGTAATTATTCTCATAAATATTTCTTAATGAAATCTTAAAAATTTAGAAGATATCTGGAGTCGATGCATCAATTGCGATGAAATTATCAGTATTTATGAGATGAAAAGACATCCTGAACAGATGAAACTAAAACAATACAGTATATATTTTTAAACTCATTTTTATGATTAATCGATTATTACATTTCATGATGTAACATACAAAACAATTAATAAACCTAGCTAGAACAGTACAAATATTGAAAAGTGTATCTAAAAGAAAGATGATTCAATAAAAACTTTTACAACAATGAAGTTATCTCAAGTTTTGTTGTGATAATATGAAAAAAAATGTGGAAATTATTCGTTCTATGCCTTATTAATAAAAAAAAATCGAAATTATACTTCATTATTTGTCTACTCGTCTGAAAGTCAATCTTCAGTTATTCAATTACTGTTACAATAAAATATATCTATCTACATATGTGTATATAAATGTATAGATACAGAGCGAGCAACTCATAAACCTCTTAACCATCCCATGACAGATACGCTTAATTCGAAACTTTTCAGCAGTAGTTTGAAGAATCTATCTTCAATATTTTTCAAAAATAGATTAACAAAATGGATTCATTTTTCTATGAATAAAATTATTGAAACTAATTGTTAATAGACATTTTCAAACAAGCTAACATATGAGACAGAAAAATATTGATAAATGTATTGAATCTGCATGAATATTTTTAACCGTTAGGTGACTATTTCTTTAAAAATTTCGACTTAAACACATAGCTTTGAAGAGCATAGTATGCTTATGTTTTTCAGTTTGAATACAGAGAATTTTGAATCATTTTTTAGAAGTTCATACATAATAAGATTCAACTGCAAAGAGTTCTATTTTTTCAACATCCTAGATGTGATTACTGCTAAAAGCTTTTTGATTGTTATTCACTGAAACTAAAGATACAATCGAAGTGATTCGAAAAATTAAAAAAAATGGAAAGCAACATTGTAAATAGTTTTCTCTCAACGAAGTTTTAAAAGATTGAAATTAGGTAAGGCTTTGCAGTTTTTTTTCTTGTACTCCTAATGTAGGCACTTAGATTGTACATACCTCTTTTCTATTGAAAAGAAGAAAAAAAGTGATGCTAATTTTCAAGGTTTTCAAGCACTTATTTGGCATTATTATTTAGTTTGTTTGCCATGAGGCAACAAATTTTTATAAACATCCAACAGCACAATCTTTAATAATAAACTATACAAAATCAATGTTAATATAAAAATTAGACATTTTTCTTCTGTTGTTCAAGTTCATTCATTATCTGAGCAAAACATTCACTACCGCCAAATAGACGTCGCGATCGCGTTCCTAATGGCATATCATCTAAAACCGTTGATGATGGGGTTAAAGCTCGGCTACGCATTTTTCGACTGCTAACATCTGTTGATGTAACCGATGGAGATGAAATCGTTTGTTTACGTAGTATTGAACGTAAATTACCAGGAACTAAACCATCGTGACGTAAACTTCTTTGAGACGATGAATCATTGTCAATGGCAGGAATTTTCTGGTTATTCAATGGTTCTGTAGCTATTGGTTCAAGTTTTTTTAAAGTTCGTCTTTTGACTGACTTTGACGGTGGATGTAATGATCGAGAGTTATGCATAGAATTTTTAGTCTTTTCATAACCAAAATCAACATGTCGCGAACGTGACGATGTTGATAAATTAGAAAAATTAATTCCAGGTAATACAGAATGCTTATTATGTAGTCGAGGAAGTGAATTCGAAGAAGAAGAAAAATCATCTGTAAAAAAAAAAGAAAACAGACATAATTGATTGTGTTGAATTTGAATTAAAGTACCTTTATCCAGTGAATTTAATATTGTTGTCGATTCTTCAACATTGTTTTTTGTCGTGGATGATTTATTTTGATATTGTTGTGCTTTCCGAGTTTCTATTGCTATCATTCGATGTTTTTGTGCAGGATCTATTGTAAGATTTTTTTGAAATTGATACACATACCATGAACATTTCGATACGAGTTGTTCAGCTTGATTTAAGTCAATACCCATTTGGCAAAGAGAAGTTTTTAATAATTCTTGCGTTAGTAATGGCTCCCGGTTATCTTGAGTAGAGGTTTTCAGCCATGTTGTATATTCGGCGTATTTAGCTTTTAATGCTGATACATTTTCAGCAGTGTGAGCAGTTTTAATTGATGCTGAAGGATAGGATGGGGTTCGTGGAGGTCGAAGTCTTCGTCGATGACTTTTATTAATAGGAGGCAATCGAATGTTAGAAGAATGGGAAGTATGAAGTAGTGGTTGTTCAGCAAACATTATGATCTATTCAAATTAAAAATAAATAAAATGCTCAATTCTTATCAACATATCATAATAATTCAAGTATGTATGTTATATTTTACATTTTTCTTCTTCTTCTTCTTCTTCTTCTTCTCTCTCTTTTCTATCACTAATAGAGCATATGGCAATAGATAGCCTACGTTCGTCTATGTTCAATACTCATTACTGTTTCTTTCTTTTCAGTAGGTAAATTTGAAACTATGGTTTCTACATAAAAAAGCCGACAAATCACGCAATGCATTTAGAAATACCGAATAGCAGGAACATACAGAATAAATACATTGGATACGCTTATAACCAAAAAAAATGACGGTTGATAATGACGCTATGCGTAAAGAACACTTGACGTCAACAGAGACAATATAACTACACTAGAGGGCATAAACTTAAAATGACTTACTAAACAATAAAAAACGCATAAAAATCTGTTTTCAATTTACAATTTAATTGCATAATAGTGACAAACGAATAGAAATAGAAGAAAGCTGGTTAAAAAAATCAAGAAAAAAAATCATCCCAAATTAAAAAGTCATCACTTATTGAGCTTCAAGCTCATCAAACTCACAGATTTATAATAATAAGAAACATTTTTGGCTACATTATTACGGTGCTCTCTTTTTTGGCTCAACTCTACAAATCATGATAATCATGACGTAGCGTGACAATACAATCGAGGAATAAAAAAAGATTTGAAAAAAAGGAAAGAAATATGAGAGAAAGAGAACCCCTGCAAGTAACTTGATTTAAAAACAACAAAAGAAATGAACTTGTATATGTTACAATACTATGAAAACAACATAATGGTATAATATCAAATTTCGTTGTCTCTCAAAAAGAAAAACTAATTGAAAATGACTAGAAAAACATAAAATCATTGACTATATCGTCTCAATACATTTTAATCGATGAAACAAGAAGCTAAAATTAAGTTTCAGTGTTGATTCTATTTAATACTAAGCCTAAATCTGTTTTATTTGAACTTTAATATGAATATTGAAACGAAGCTCGGCTATAAAAAAAAATCACTACACCAGTGAAAACTATTTATTTGTATATTATTTTAAGTCTTCTTCTTACTGGTTATTATCAACTTTATCGACGTTGTCATTAATCACACATTTGAGAAGCTATGAGAACATGTCAAATTTTAAGTTTCATCTATGACTAGCATCTGATACATTTTTATTGTACTAAAAGAATATGTTAGTCGTAAAGAGTAAAAAGTAATGAGTGCTTGGAAAGAAGGCCTTTACCTTAAGTACTTTTATTAGTCGTATTGAAAATTTATTTGATTCAACGATAATTTCAATTTCGAAATTATGATTAAGCTTCGAAAAATATTCAAACGCTTGCTGCTATGAAGCTTAGTTTTTTATCCCTTTGTTATGTAAGACATCACTAAGTGATACTTGGAGCAAAAATGTGTTTGGGTGTTTTTATATGAATCGATAGACCCTGACAGACTCTATAAGAGCGTTTTTAAATAAAAAGAAAACATTTTAACTCGTTATTTAGCGTATACTTTACAAAAACACATTTTTAAAAAGCTCTTGAAAAACTACTGTTAACATATTGGCGAGATATATTCATTTTTCTAACAAATTTAGGTTTTTCATTTAGTACTCTTGATGTTAGAAGTATATAATATTAATTGTTCCATACAGTGTAGATAACTGTATATAGTAACGTAGTTTAAACTACGTTACTATATACAGATCTCTGCACTGTATGGAACAATTAATAGTATATACTTCTAAAATCAAGACTATCAAATCAGAAAACTAATTTTTTTGGAATAATGACCATATCTCCACAATATTCAAGAAGTCGTTTTTCAAGAGTTTTTTTAAGAATATCTTTTTCTGTAAATTATACGATAAATAACGAGTTAAATTGTTTTTATAAAATTCTAAATGGTCTTATACAGTCTGTTGAGCTCTATCGATCTGTGTAAAAACGTCGCAAAATAGTTAGGTAGTTTTTTCTCAAAAAGTTATACTTTATATTTCTACCATGATCCATATGATTTTTAATTTCAGTATCTTTCTTTTACACATGTCAACGATCTATAAAATCTCTTGGTTAATTTTTGAAGTTTGAAATGGATTGTAATGAAATTTGTTTGCTTAATATTAAGAACTATTATCTCACTGAAAATTAGCTCATTGGTATACAAACTATCTAATTCAAGCCGCGCAGTGCAGTGAACACCAATAAAATTCATTCGATACTGATTTAGTCAAGTTTCAGTCAATACAAAAATCAATAGTAAAAGGTCTAAAAAAAGAGAAACAAATATTTTTCTAAAAATATACATGTTGATTTTGAAGACATACATGGCGATTGTTTTTTTCACTTAATGGAAATCATTCCTAAAGACAGGCAATATTTTTTCATTCATCAACATTTCAATTGCAGTTTCATCGATGATGTTTTAGAATAACAAAACATTCTTAATGCATATTTAATCACGTATTGGACAAGAAAAACCAAGATATTGCCAAGGAACATGTTCATCACGTATAGAAGATGTTTTCCTTTGAAAGTTAAACGGCACTTTTTCATAGTATTTTACGAAGACTTCTTTGAATGTCAGATATAATACATATAACTAACTCATGATTAATTTTTCGAAGTATCTTGTTTCAACAAATTCACTTAATCATGTTTCTTCTAGAATTCGCTTAATTAAATAGACTGTGTTTGCCGTCAACCGGTAAATGAATATTTTTTCTCACAAAAAAATGAACTAAACTTATTTTGAATTATTAAAAAATATATGTAAGTAAAAATGAACATACATTTTAAACATTACAAGTACAATTTGTTCTTAACTTAAGTGTACTACGCCACGTATAACACGACAACAATCTATTTCTGTTGCTTTTCACAATCAAAAGTTTTATCTATCTACGAGTGAGCGTGATTCAACTTTTGAGCTGATAGATAGAACAATAAAATATCATCAAAGTTGGTTTTCATATCTTCAAACGTGTATCCTTTATTTCTCATGCGGACTATTTTAAAGTTCATATCTTGTAATACGGTACTAATTTTTCGTCAATCTCAGTTTCAACAGCATATTATATCTCGTTGTTACTCTTTTTACGTGAGTTCATGATAACTATTTTACTTCATAGCTAATTTTCTAGCAGCTGATGGACGTTTTAGTTAATTCTATCCGTCTCTTTTTCATATTTTCTATTGTGTCGAATGTAATTGTCATTTTTAGATAATTGTAGCGTGTTGTCGGTCTCATTTTGTCTATTAATATTCCATCATATACTTTCTATCTCTAATAAGAAGAATTTCGATGTTTTTTTTTGTCATATTGAAATTAGTTCGAGTGACGTCATTCTATCTGATAATATTGGAACAGCAGAAAAAAATTGAGATCGTTGAAATCTTACTACGATGTAAAATAAGAATAATCAATCTTAAAATTAATGATTACGCCAGTTGTTACTGCATATAATTACATCTATATGCGGCATTGAAAAGTAGAATAATAGAAACTATTAGATTGAACAATTGAATATCTTTTGATTTTGTAGCCAAAATTTACGGATTAAACATGTAAGCAGACATTTTTGTAGAGCATCTGGCTAAAGAAATAAACAGTTTTTACTAAAGTCACTCTCTTCCAATTTGTACTTGCGCAGTTGTGGACGAATCCGTTCCTTCACAGGATATACCGTATGCTGCTAGTAGTTCTTCTTCGAGAAAATAAATTCTGTTACATCCTAAAACAGATTCCTATAACTTGAATCAAACTTTGCCAAATCTTCAAAGAATCCTTTTTAATAACTTTCACTTCTTTGAAATAGTCAAAATATATTAATAAAAACCAATTATCACTGTGTTCTGGATTCTCTTAAGGTCAACAAATTTTTTTAAATGTTTGAGATACAATCTAAGAATTGAATCTCTCGTGATAAATAAATATAACTTTCACTTGTTATTTCAATTCATCTTTTTGTGTTTGCGGTGCTGAATGTAATCAATAGATAACTCGTAATCAAATAAGCAATCCTATAACAAATGAAAGTATGCATGGACTTCATTTTTTGTGAAAGGAAACTTTTCTAACAATGAATATTTTGCCCGTAAATCAATATTCGATGTAATATTCTCATGTCATAAGACAGCTTCGTCGAACAAATCAAATTAGAAGATCGTATTCAAATAAATATGACACATTAGTAATTATATTAGAACTATGGCGACAGTGAAATAGATGCAAGCTTGAAAAAACATAAGTCAAACGAAGAATAATATTTATTCGGAGTAGAATGTAGTTCGGTAGAATTCACGTATATAAGATATTTGCCATCTTTTGATATGTATGTTATCAGTGATCATCAAATGGAAAACTAAATGAATGTTTTCTTTTCTATCTCTTTTAAAGTAAACAGTCTTAATGCAAATAGTTAAGAACCTCACAAGTTAACTGTACAATTGTTATTTCTATTGAAAAAATTGTCTAATTCACTGCAAAATTGATATTTATGAAACTCATATTATTTGACTACTACTTTAATTAAAAATTAGCACATTATTATAAAGCCTACGTGTCATGATCACTTTATTCTAAATTGCTAAAAATCAATGGATCACAACTATTATGAAGAAGATTTATTTTATTCAAAGCAAATACTTTTTTACTTCAACGATTACTTTGATAATAAGAAGTCGAATATCCCGATTAGTTTAAAGTAATATTTTACCAAACTCTAGCTGTAGATAACTATCATATAAGACTTTTGAATGAGAAATCAGTAGAGGTGAATTGATATAGGACATATTCGTATCTACGATTTGGGTTTATTGTTCCATGCACAGATTCAAAATTTGAACTGAATATCATAACGAGTATTAGCGTTTCATGAGCAAACGTAGTTATATTTACTTCCGATTGTATAATTGCTAAGATTGCAACTTCGTGTCGGTATTTGTTTTTAGCAAGAAAGCAACTGTAATTTTTGATTTATCTTTCAATGATCTTTAACAAAAACAAAATCATCGTATATTTTATTAGACAAAACAAAAATGTCTAGAGAACACTCCATTTGTTTTCAAATGCAGCACAAACTTTAGCGCAAGTTAACGCAGCTGAAAGCGGATAGGATGAAATTGATATTGAATCTTCATTATAATCAATATTAACACTGCCTTTTGCCATTGCACCAACAACAAAAACAACCGATTGATCGACTTCACATTCATCACGTGCATAATCTTGAATGTTGACAAGGCGTGTTGATGTAGCACCAAACGATGTTGAGATTTTTTTACATCCAACAGGAAAATGTTCTGTGACGGGATTTTTAATGACTTTAAGTAGTTTAATACCTCCTTGAACAGAATCTTGAGAACGAATTGATAATTTATGAAGAAGTTGAACCATTAAACCAGCAAAACGATCAAATGTTCGTGGAATACGAGTTTGAGGATTTACTTCAATTAAAACTCCTTTATGTGTATGAATATAAACCTAGAAGAAAAATGAATACATAGATATCTAAAATTTCATCTGTTTTGCTGAGTTTGTACGATGCTATGAGTTATATCGATCAGATGATCATTGAAATTTATTAGTTTAGCGAAATCACCTAAAGTTTAATGTCCCCATCAATACCTTTTCAGGATTCAGCGAGCTTCTTCTCGAAAATTTCTGTTATATTTAGTCATCGTTGCCAAAGATACGGAATCTCTATACCTTTTTGTTTTCAGAACAAGAACTTATCCATTCTATTGAGATACAGTGAAAGTGTATACACAACTGCGTATAGCTTTTTTGCAAGCACAATTATGATACAATTACGTCATTAACATCTCTCAGATAGACTGATAGATTCAATATTCTTATTTTACGATAGTTGAAATAGGAAAATGAATGTATCTGTCGTTTCTTGATGCCATCACGACATATATTTGAATAATACCATATTTTTACGGCATCTCTAGAGAAATATACTAAAGATCTAAACTATTTTCCAGGTATTAATAACCACTCGGGATCTACATGATGTCTATAATGCCAATTAATCAGTTATCGGATCATTTTCATTAAATGTATCGCTCAATTTATAGAACTTGAAATTTTGATAACTCTTTCGATTTTGTCAAGGGTTTCAAAAAATAAAACTTGAAATAGAACAGTTAAAATAGAAACTTCATTAATGTTAACATAGTCGAGTAACTTACTTGCAGTAACCCTGCTCGATTCAGTGGTGAATCAAGTAACATTAATAAACATTGATGTGTTATATCAGGTCGTGCATTTGAATTTGGGTCACGTTTATATTTCAAAAGATGATTTTTATGTCGGTCACAATTAAGTAATTCATAAACTTTTCCAATTTTGATTGTTTCTAAGTTTGCTTGTTCAAGAACAACAATCAATCGCTTATCTGTTGATTTTATTTTTTTAGCTTTATTTACTAATGGTTCATCAACTTGAATATTTTGCAGTTGTCCTTGACTTGTGTTATTATCGTTAATATCATCGTCATCTTGTTGCTGTTTTTTTGTACGTTTATTAATTGAAGGCATTTTTATCTGGAAAATGAATGAGATTATTTATTTATTTGTTTATTTATTTGATGTACTCGGCAAAAAAAATAAAATACACCGATTCATTATTAATTTCTTTTGGTCTTTCAATTAATGCACAGAGAAAAAAATTCGAATTTAGAACTTTTAGTTTTTGTTGATGTCGGAATGACTGTTTAAAAGTGTTGAGATTCAAAGACTTGCGCCCATTTTAAATGCAACTCCATTATTAACGGATGTTGATGCTGTTGGTTGCTGGTTTATTTCATCATTTGAATTTATGTTTAAATCATCATTAATTTCATTATCTAATGGTTCATTTTCTCCATCAGAACATTGATCTAACTTTTCGAAACCTTTACGTCTATTCATCCAATCGCCAAGTACAGAACTAGAACCAGTACTCGAAACTTTAACATCATTTAAAAATAGATTTAGACGACGAAGTTTACGAAGATTTCTTATTCGAACAAAGCATCCGATGATAACGGCAAGAAGAACCGGAATGGCAAAGAATCCCATAATAATTAATGAAACGCGGAAATTTCTATCATTTAGATAGATTCGTTTACTGAATGTTTGTGTTGGAAGATCTAAATAAATTATGAAACAGAAACATTTTAAAATAAAAAAATCTCGAAATAATTTCACCTCTACGTGTAGCCAATTCAAACTTATGTAAAGCATTGATAGGTGATGAAGCTAATTCACCAACGTAAACTTCACGACCATTTGTTGATACAGCAATATCATGTGGAGCAATTAAGTGCTTTAAAGCAAAAAGCAATACAGTAAATTTTTTTTTTTATTGAAATCAATTTACCGGATTTGAATCAAATGATGTTAAAATATCTCCTGTTCGAGCATCAATCATATAAACTTTTTTTACTGGTGTATCTGTACCACCTGTAACCGCAAATAGAACTGTCCCTAAATAGAATACAATTATTCAAAATTAAGTTTCCTTATATTTATGTTTTCTTTTCTTTTAACAAACCATTTGTATTCGGTGCGAATTCAATAGCATAAATTGGACCAATGTTATCTTTTGTTTCAACACGAATTTGTCTCTGAAATTCACCTGTATTTGCATCAAAACATTGAATACGATAGTTTTCACGGTCGGCACCACATAATAATTGAGCATCCTCATTTAATGCAATCGAATGAACAATATTCCATTGGTTTGGAAATGGAAAACCATCTCCTAGAAATATGATTACAATTCATTAGAACAATTTCATCAGAATATGCATTTATTTTCTAAAACAGATTTGAAACTATAGGAACAATGAAAAGTATTTGATTGAGACCACTCACATCAACTAATTGATCAAGAATTATTCCAGAAGAAAACAAAAAAGCTTTGAAGTGACATCAAAGATAACGATATCGTTTGATTTCGTGATCATATGAAATCTTTAGTACAACTAATTAGAAATGTTCTTGACTGCTTATACTTATACAAGAAAATTTTTGAAAAAAAGAATAAGTATTCCAGTAAAGGTAAGGCTAGTCGATCATCTATATTTCACACTTTTTCTATTATTGCACAATTTTTCTATTAATTAGTCAAAATTAATGATCTCAGGAAAATCAGCTTAGCTCCTACAAAAAATTAGATAAAAATTTTCCCCACACGCATATGCAACAAGAAGAATCTTATCTATCATACAGTAGTTATGGGGAATTTTTTTTCTTGTTGATTGTAAGATTTAGATTAATCATACTTTATATTATTTTAGACCTCACGAAAATCTCTCCTAAATAATAAAAACCATGGATCACTCATTTTTCCAGTAGAAATTCTACATTTCATCCTTACATCCGATTCATAATTTGTCTGTTGTACCTTTTAAATTTCTATCTATATAGTTTGCAGATTTATGAATTATAAACGTTTATTGTACAGAAATATGTATTGAATGATGAATAGAAATAATTCGATTAGTTCTCAATCACTACTAGAAATATGTTTGATTAAGTTCAAACGACTGTAGTTTTTACAGTTCTTTTCATAGACAGCGAACAATGAATATCTTTCTGGAGGATGATTTGTTAGGAGTGAATTTGACGGTATGAAATCTAAGATTTTATTAAATAAAAATATCGATATATGATGTTTTTTGTGTTTATTATCAATTGTGTAGTGTACCAGATTAAATACGATTACGAAAAATATGTTTCATCATGATTATAATTATGAACAAAGAAAACAAAATCTTACTATCTTGTGCTCCAGTCATTGATGAGCCCCATTCAGTTATGTATTCTCCTTGACGATTAAATTTTATAATGCGACTATTACAATATCTAAAATAGGAGACTAGTTTAATAAAACCATTTCTCTATTGTAAGAGTAAATCTTACCCATCTGCTACAAAGAAATCCCCATTTTTCATCACAGCAATATCTGCTGGTCGACAAAGTTGAGTTGGGCCAGAACCTGGCTGAAAGATTTCTCCAACTGTTAATGCTGGATGTGTTAAATCATTTGGTTTGAACATAAAAACTTGATGCATAGCTATATCAGTTAACCAAAAGTTTCCCGCATGATCAATTGTTAAACCATGTGGCATATAAAACATTTTTGCACCCCAACGAAATTTTGTTTGTCCCGTACGAGTATCAATATGAAGAAGAACATCTTCATCGATAGGACCATAGTTTTCATTGCGATAACGATAATTTCCAGTAAAATATCTGTTTTTGAAAGAAAAAATGTGAGTTTAAAAAACTTGATCCAAAAACTTTAATTTTACTTATTCTCCCATTTTCTTGAACCACGATGAAATACAACAAGTTCATCATTAGCTTTATTTAATGCCAATCCACCTATTTCACCAAGTTGACCTGGTAGTGATTTAACATCAGGCCATGAATCGACGCAGCTATATAAATTCGCTATAAAAACGGAAAAAACGCAACTCTTTCTATGCGTTCTGAAACATTTTCTTTCTATACATTATACGAAAAGCAACAAACACGTAGCAATACGACATCAAATCTCACAACTCATTATTTTTGCATTATGTATTTTAACGGTTTGCTCTTTTCCATAGGTTAAATGTGTTGGCAATAAATAATCATAATTTTGTGCATCGACGTATTCATATTCAGGTAAACCAAGATGAGATAAAACTTTATTGAAATTAAATCCGTCGGAATCTTTATTACGATGACGCATATTTTCAACTTCATCTACATAATCTTCATAAGCTGGATCGTCCACTGATGATAATGATAATTGTTTTCCAATATCTATTTATCAATCAATGATGATGATGATGATGATGATGATGATAATAATAATAAAAAGCTATAAATCAAATTTAAGGAAAAATACCTATTGAAGAACTCATTGCATGTTCAGCATGAGTTTGATGGCCATCACTTGTACCGCCTATATCCGAGGGTTTACGTGGAGGAACATCACTGTCCGGTGGAATAAGACTAAAAATAAAGAAGACGATATTAATTTACTATCTCAAACTGCAATTTTACTGTAATGAGATGGTATGGTAGGAATCATAAGACCGTCTTATGCTTAAAATAGTAATATCAAATTTTTATTTAAGTACCTAATACTAAGTCAGAAACTTATTTAAATAAGCATTATTCAAGGAAAAAGTAACAACGAAGCGAATGTCAATGAGCTTCTTTCATGTACAACAGAGGTAATCGAATAATAAAAAGTCTAGTCTGATCGAAATTTTTTCAATTCAAAAGGCTCTTCTAGGCAGTTTTGTCTGAGAATGTGAAAATGCCTTACATATGACACAACATTTCATCTCGATTCGTAACTATCAAATTATAGTTCTCTAATATTTTCGAATCCTATTTAGTTCAAAATCGGTTCAGATGCACTTGTATAATTACTAATTGACAAAAAGAAATCATAATTCGGATTATTTTAGGCCGATGTATTTTGCATTCCTTGTTTTTCTGCTATGTTAGTCAGAAAATATTATATCTCTGCTCTCTAATGGCTATCTACATCAAGTGAAACTGGTTGATAGAAACTTACAAATGTATTGTAGTTTTCTTTTCTTTTTTCTTCTTAAATATTAATTTCTTGTATCTTAATTTGAACCATGGGGCAAATAGTATATCTATCTTGATTCTATTGCCGGCGGATAAAACTAATTCATGAAAAAGAAATATTCGCTTGCAAATATTTTCAATTTGTTGGTTTGACTATTATTCAGTCCAATATGATGGGAAATTCGCTAATTATATTGAATATAATAATTGATGAAATATTTATTTGGATTAGAATCTTCCATTAAAGTACAAAAAAAAATATGTATCTGTATAGTAATTCGCTAAGTGCATTGACAAGTGAATTTGATCGCAATGAAAGTCTCATAATAATGTAGATATTCAATTAACATGCGAAGAATATTGATCGAGTTTGTCATCGTGGCCTACTGCTAGCTAAAAACGGAAGACCGGAATTTCGGCCCACGGAATTTTCGAGTCGGAGTTTCGAACCAATTTTAGACAAATTGATTGAAACCTGAAAAAAGAACTAATTTTCTAAAAACTGGCTTTTACATTTTTTAGTGTCGAGCGGAGCGTCATAGCATTCTAAGCTGTTTATTTATATACTACAGGTTCAATGAGGTTTTCCTAAGAAAATTTTCTTTGCATGATTAGGTTTCCATGTCAATAGAGGAAAAAGAGTACACAAACTTGAAATTAGATATTTCACAATCAAGGGCATCTCTTGTTCAATTAATATGCATCTTACAGAATATAAAACGATGCGTAACTTCACGATATTAAAGTTGAAAGCGCACAAGTGTGTATTTGTACGTGTTGAAATGGAATATGCCTGCCTTTTGAACTTATCCTACTGTTCAGAATGACGTTCTAAGATGTTTATCAACAATTAATAATTTTATCTTTATTGACATCGGAATTGTATTTATGCAACTTTCTCTGAAATCATTCAATTTCTCCATAAATACACTATCAGATTGATCAAATTAAATCTTTTGTTTTTGATTAGTTTTGTTGTCTGTATAATTCTATTGTTATCTAATGTATTAGCACTCTCTCTCTCTCTCTCTCTCTCTCTCTCTCTCTTATTGTATAATTTATATATGTAAGTGTTGCTTTATGCCTTCTTCATCGCTTATAGTTCGTGATTCACAAAGTCGATATATTTCGATGTACACCCACACCATTGTCTTCAGCACTACGTCGCTCCGCTCGACACTACGTCACTTCGCTCGGCACTAAAAAATCTAGAAACTAATTTTTAGAGAATTAGGGTTTTTTCAGGTTTCAATGAATTTGTCTCAAATTGATCCGAAACTCTGGCCCGAAAATTCCGTGGGCCGAAATTCATGTAACCCACTAAAAACTTCTAAAATTGATTATTGGTACTCGAACAGTGATAAAAAAAAATTATTTTATGATTTTAAGTCTTCTCGCATCAATAAAATATTGTATAATCTTATTAATTGAATGCTTGCAAGAAAATAGAACAACTAATGCGAGCTAAACATAAAAAAATGCCTAACCTAAGATAAATGAAATTTTTTTGTCAATCCTTAAAGTTTCCGATTATACATAGGTATGTATATATATTTTTATTTATTTATTTATTTATTTATTTATTCATTTATTTACTTAGTTATTGAACTGAATTCATTGTCCCAGCATGAATGAATTGGAGATGCGCCTGTTTTTTGCTTTCCAGTTGATGTTTTTGTTGGTTCAAATGAATACATGGCATATACATTACACATTTCATCTTTATGTGTAGGTCTAAAAATTTTCAATTGATTTTTCTTATGAATGAAAAGCAGTAGAAAAATTTACCCGACTCGAACAATATAATCGTTATCATTATCATAAACACATTGTCCAACAAGATAATCATCATTTTGAATTTCAATTGGTGATGGCAGTGGATAAAATGACTGCGGCCACTGTGGGTCACCTTTAACTATTTGAGTAATTACTCCATCACGTACACGATACAATGAATTAACTCGAGCTAACGAAAAAAAAAAACATTGACTTATATTTAACTGGCAATAATGAAACTGCTAACCCCATTGATGTGCATGAACACGAGCAGCAAAAATAGAAATCGATGGTCCATTATAACGACATGAAAATGGTGTTCGAATAGCTGAAATCAAATCATATAATTTAATTAGAATCTTGTTTTTCTTATTTACAATGTGCTTTCGGCTTCAAATAGATCTGACTTGTACCAGCTAACATAACACCTGCTTGATATTTTCGTCTAAAATAAAATAAAATTTAATATGAATAAATAGACAAATTGAATATTTTAAAATTAGTCAACATACGGCTTTCGACTCATAATTAATTGATTTCCTGACCTATCATTGACAATAGTCGATAGATAGTGAATATTGACTATAATATATTTGTATGGCGTATTACGACCAACCGGAAATCCAACATCTAAATATTTTTCTTTTAAAATATTTTTCGTTTTTTAAATACAAGATAAACAAACCGTCAGGTAATGTCATTGGTGGCGCATTACGAGCCCATCCATGAATAATCAATTGTTCATTACCATTACAAGCTTGACCCGTAGCCCTATATATATATATACGTACAAACCGATGATAACTTCGAAAATAAAGAAAACGAACCAAATGTTTTTGTTAGAACCTGGATTAGCACAAGCAAATGTTAACATATGATGAGCGGCATTCATATTAATCAAAGGCGAATATCCAACTATATTATATGTGAAGATAAGGTAATATTTGTTTTATATTTAAACTTACCGATAGTTAATTCCTCATCAGGTAATTCATATTGAAGAAAAGCATATTGATCGTCCTTTAAAAACAAAAAAGAAAGTTAATTTTTTTATAGAAAAACAAAGTATTTATCTATTTCATTCAACCTGTGTTGTATTGAAATTGGGCATTGTAATATTTATACTGAAAATATCATCTTTATTTGTAACACTTGCAGTATAGCCGTATTCGAGAATAGTGAGTAGTCCAAGAACGAAATTTAGGACGGTTGTTGTTCCAAAACGAAATTTATTCATAGTTTGTTTTATATACAATTACACAGTCGTGATTTTAAGTATGAAGAAGATATCAAATGAACCGAGCACAAAGAAATAGGAATAGAGGAATGTTACATCTAAAATAGACATTAACATATGATTATATGCTACAGAAATCAAATAAAAGAGAATCGATTGATATGCATGAATAATTATGATATTAATATTATTTATCGGTATCATGAAGTGGACAAACAAAACTAGAAAAAAGCAAACTATGCAAAAAATCACTTTTTCGTTTTTGTTGTTGTGCTGCATTATTAGTTTGTTGAGTCAAGGAGCAAGAATTTTCATCACATAATCGTCTTAGTAATGATGAATCAGGTTCACTTGCAGTCGTTTTTGTCGTGGATGATTGTTGTTGTTGTTGCTGTTGTTGTTGTTGTTGTTGTTCGGGTGTTGATTGTTGTTGTGCAACAATTTGTGCCCAAGTTTGATGATTATTATTTGTTGAGGAAGATGAATCAATAAAGAGAGCAGATGCAAAAAGTGAATCAAAAAAGTCATTTTCGATTGATGATAAACTATTCGATGATGGCGACGATGATGCTGCTGTTGGCTGTGAATGATGCGATTGTTGTTGCTGATGATGTGAACGTCCTACCGTACGAAGTCGTTCGCGTTCATATTGTTGTCGAGTTAATGTTTGAAGATTAATTGTATTTGATGATGAACTATTATTAGTACTATTTGCTGCTGCCAATCTTCTTACTGTCGATAATTGTGTTAATAAATCAGCTATTGGATCACTTCCACCATTGACTGTTGAAGTATCAACAACGAAATGTTGACTTACAGTTCCACTACCTCTTCCTAATGCACCTCGTCGGCCAGGTGTTCGTAATGGTCCTCGTCTAAAACCAGCTCGAGCATTAGTAAAATCGGACTCTCTATTTGATGATGATTGTCGTGAATAGGGATTTGTTCCGATTCCACCTGTTGATGGTGTTTGAACTTGTTGGTGTTGATGATCATTAGCAATATGTGATAAAAGATCAGCTGTAACTAAATTCGGTTCACCATTAACCATAGCTGCGCAAATAGGGCAAATAACTTCATTTGTTTGTTGTTCATCGGCATGTTTTAGTTGAAGATGATGAAATAGATCAAAATTCTGTGATGATGATGATTCATTTACAAATGGTAATGAAAAACCCATTTCACCACAAAAAGGGCAAGTGAATGATTGGGCTTGATCAGATGTATATCGTTCACCATGATAGTAAAAATCAAAATCCTGGCGTGTCAATATACCTAAAGCCAAAAATAAAATAACATAAAACAGTATTTTGATTGGAAATTATTTAGGTATCGATTTGCTTTACATTGCATAGGATGTTCATTAGTATGCTGATTTGATGCTTCTGCTTGTTCATAACATGTCGAACAAAGATCATAATCATGGCAAATTAAACATTTATATCGTTTTGAACGAAAATTACTTTTACCACAAGCATCACAACTTACACCTTCATGAGCTGACATACTGAAAAATAAATAGAGTTCTTTAAAAAAATTTGCACGAAATCTGACACGGCAACCATAATTGTTGAATGATATTAACCAATCAGAAACAGCCTCTATCAAGATGCGATTATGCGACTTCTTTTTCGAAAGTATATAATTCTTCCGACAAAAAAAGTAGATTAAAATTTTGTAATCTTAATAGTTTTAATAATTATTTGCAGAAAAATCAATTAATAGTTTTCTTTATCCGTTGTGTTGCTTAGTTAGTAATTATAGCAAGAACGTATACCATTGGGTAGCATATTTTTGCGTTTTCCTTCGTTTTATTGAATGAAAGCCAAGCCAAGTCAAACTGAGCTACGTGCAGCACCGAGGGGCTATGTCATGCGATGCATATCTCGTTCCTTTTCTCTGTTTTTTTACTCGAAGAGCACATGCCATGCCATAAACGCTAATTCATTGCTTCTACGTTCTTCAAACATACTCAAACCATGCGATAACAAAGCATGTCCATTTTGAAAAGTTGCACAAGATTTCTTGTATGCAGGCAATGTCTACAGAGATATGAAAAGCAAGTTTTGTTCTGGATTATGTTTTATAAAAAGAAAGTAGTAGCACAAAAAATGACATTAAAACTTTCGAAAGAAACGAGAAGTTATCTTACTTAGGGAGAATTGATATATTATTATAAAGAAAATAAATTACAAACATTGAATTCTGTACAATGTAGCTTAATAGAACAGGCTCGTTTTCTCTTCTACATATCTATTGAAAAAGTATTATCTCAACTTGAATACCATAAATGAATACTCGTTTGGTGAGCTAATATTGACTTCACTTGAATAATGATGAAATAAAACTACATCTATAACAACTTGTACATCATTCTCTACCCCTCAAGACGATATGGAGAGAAAATGAAGAAATATTTTTGCTAGTATGGCATCTCATCGATAAATATAAATAGAATTGTATCAACTAGTGAGTTTCAATTGTGGAATTAGTATTCAATAATTCATAAGTATAATTAAAATTTTTCATTAAATAGTCAACAATTTTCAGACAAAAAAAATTGGTTTACCAATATTTAAATGTTCAAAAATATAAATGACACTGGACTCTAAAGTATTCTATGCTGGAAAGTTTGTTTCATCTAAGTCAACGTCATACAATATTAATGAATAATTCTTATTTTCTCTTGTCTTTGCCCTATTTAAAAATCGAAAATCATGTGGATATTGCTGTACATCTAGTTGTATTTGTTAAGCGACGATAATCCTGATACTTGAGAGAAATATCTGCTTTTGGTGTTCGTAAAAAAATAGCAAGAACTTTAAATAGATCGGCAAAACCAAAAATTTATTTCTAGGTACGTTTGATTGAATCGAACTGAACCTATTTACAGTCTATCTACTCTAAACTCTAAATATCATTATATTTCAGCATAATTACAGACACCAATAAACCAATTAACTGAAATCATGTGGATATCTGCTACAGTAGTAATAGTCCAATTATTCAATTATATTCAGTGATGAATTGCTTTGAAATTAAGAATTATTGGATGCTTCTATGAATTAAACTTGTATGATAGTCATCAAGGTGAATAGTTTCTTATAAGAAAACCAAACCAAATAATTAGTATAATAATTTCAAGTCGATAAAAAGTATTGTCAGTCAATATATATGACATACTTTATTTTCATAGTGCACTATCAGTTTCTAGTGCATTTTCATCAGAACATTCTATTTCTCAGATTCATTTTTTGTATTTCACACACTGATATTTCTTAGAGGGAAAAACAATAACTTGTTTTATTTAGATTTCAATAATAAATGCTTTACATAATAATAATTCAACCATATGTACTTCTTGTTGTTTATTTTAAACTTCTCAGTGTGTATTATTTTGCTTTGAAGTAAAATTTTCGCTTTGTCTGTTTCTTGAATATACCTAAAATTGCTTTTGCACTGTCAAATATGAATTGTAATTAACTGGAAGTTTTTTAAAAGTCTTGTTCAAAGTTAAATTAAAGAATTCTTTCATGTTTAAAACATTTCATATTCTAGTAAAATGAAAATTTTCTTCATCTGTTAAATTGCTGATGACGTCGAGAAAAGGTTTAACTTCTTGCAAACTTGAACTGAAGAATTAGTGAGAGAAATCAATAACGTTTAAATGGATGCATAAAATTGAAGATCAACACATAAGAATAAAGTTCTAGCTGTTCCCTAAATGAAACTGTATAATGAATGTATTAAAAACTCGATTCAGTAACATAGCAAAAGGTGCGACGTTGAATATTCTACTCGAATAGCGGGATGTAATCTTTTATAGCTAGTTTCGAAATCATAAGTTTTCATACACGACTAACACTGAACAAATACATCAATGTACTAAAAACTTCTATCCGATGAATTTCATAAAATGATAATGACTTGCCACAAAGCTGACTTCAATTAATTTTTTTATCTCAAATTACTACAAAAGATACATTATACAGAGGATGGAAGAATATGAATTACAGTCTGTTTGATAACCATGTCTGTGATTGACATAGTTGCTCTATTAAAAAAAGTCAATGCCCACCACCGAACAGTTCACGAAGATTTGAATCATTTTTGCATCTAAAAATAAAGTTCTCATTTAATACAATATTTTAAAAAAATGATAAATAACTAGATGATACCCTTTAATAAATTGATCCTTATTTAATTTGTTTCCTTCCGTAATACCAAGCGTATTAAATACTCCAATAGCAAGTTCTCTTGCATAATCATTACCTGTTCCTTCCAGTTTACCCGCAATAGTTAACTAGAACAAAAAAAAGATTTATCCTTTGAAAAAAAAAATAATGAAAATATGTTCTTACTGAAGCCTTAAGAAAACTTGCTAATTCTTCTAGATCCATATGTCCATCTCCTGAAACATCGCACCTTTATACAATAATATAAAATATTCGAATTGTAAACAAAATATTTTTTACATTTCAAATACATAATTTAGATGACTTTCTAGATCAGCTGGAGAACGTGTAGCAATAGCCAATAAGAATTCATAAAAATCAATTGTGCCATCATGATCTTTATCGAACACGGCAAAGACATGACTTTAATGAAGAAAATATAAAAGCGGACAGCGTTAAAAGATACATCAAATAAACATACTCGCACAAAACATTTGCTCGATCCCTTTCATCTTTAATTTCTTCGTAATATTTTATAAATCCTTCTTTATTCATTCTGCCAGACGGAAAATCATTCCAAAAAACCTTGGAAAAGCAGTGAATAGCAAAAAACTTTCAATTTAAATGATACATACAACATATAAATCTATGATTTCTAAAAGAATGAGCAAGATGATATAAACAAAAACCGTTTTTTTTTTAATTTTTACTTACCGTTTTCACTAAGATTAGAACTTGCTTTCAACAAGGCGATAACTAAATATTATAGGATGTAATTTAATTAGTAAATAAAGAAATGACAATACTAACCTTGTGGTGTGAGTTCTTTTGATGATCCACTTTTAATGACAACTTTGTTACCCATAGATAATTTTTTCTTTAATGAACTGTGATTTGACAAGTAGAAGTAACTATTGTAATTATATACAATTAAAATAAAAGAAAGCGAGAATCATTATGATCTATTTGCTACAAGGGAAATTTCTTCAAGTTAGAAGCAAACTATAATACTCGATATGCACCAACAGATTCTGGACTGATTGAAGCTTCAAAATATTTTCGCTCTCGTTTTTTTGGTGTATCATTCAAAACTAATAAATAAAAATTAGAAAAAAATCGATAAAAAATTGATGTCGATTCGAAGGAAAAAAATCCATCGACTTCTACATGACTTTTTACTCAATGGCTTTAATCGATATAATAGAAACATTTATAGATAATTTTTCGTATTTTATTTTTAGCGATCTTCAGAGAAGCTTATGTTATTAATTCATGCTTTCTTTTTCTTATGCGCCAATCGGGTTTTCCTATCGTGAGACTTTCGTTATATATATATGTGCTCGAATGCACACAGAACATTGAAAGCTCTGTTTTTTAGTCAACTCCAATGAAGAAAAAGAACAAGAAAAATCAAAATCGATTTATCAAGGCATTGCCACATATAGACATGATAAAATACAATCAACATGTAGCAAACTAAGAACGAGTAACAAATTATGTAGAGAAAAATAGATGACAACAACTTAATCAAGTATATAGGTCGCAATAGGAATGGTTCTTTCGACCTTATTCTAGGCTCAACGCTCAATATGTGCATCTTAAGAAAATTGTTCTAGCTTTCTTTCTTTCTTATGAACGTATTAGCTAATTTGATAATCAAGCATGTTCCGAGATAACGAGTGAATAATCGAAATCGTCAGCACACAAATGGCATTGACATATGTTGGCGATGAGTTTTTTTCTCTAAATGAAGGAGGTCTGAAACATGAAGAAGTTAGGATTAAATCGACTAATCGGAATATAACTATCAATACAACACGTAACAAGAAAAATCAATCTTCAATAAAGAACGATCAACTTCATGCAAGTAATAATATTTATGAATAGTTGCAGCTAGGCAGGTTTTCTTTGATAAAAATTCAATCTATTCGAATGATATAAAGAATCACTTACTTCCATGTGAAACATGAGCTTTCCATCAATACGAAGAGCTTTATGTTTCACGCAATCATCAAAAATATTCATATCTGATATTTCAAGAATGACATTATCAGCGTTACGTTTATAATTTGTTATTTTACCACCAAAACGTTGATGCTTCATTATAGTTTGAATAGAAAATGTCTGTGGAACACGATAAATCAATAGACGACAAGTAAGATTGCCTTTCTTTGTTATTAGTTTACCATCGAAATTAAGATGATCGACTGTTGACCACTTTCTTGCTTTATCAGCAACAAGAATACATTTATTATTGGTTTGTTTATTTATTTGAATGTAAAGAGAAGTTGATGGAAGATGTGATAGTTTGGTAGTATTAATAAGTGCGGTCTGCCATTGATGTTGTGTAACTGAACGAGGTAGATCTTCAAGAAAATTACAGTCAGCACAAAAATAGATTCGAGCGAAGTGTTCTTTCATCTTATAATCTTGATTAAAATTGTTGACGAGTATTTCATCCAGTGATGTTGAAACAAGACGATACATATTAGGAAATTGAATATTCAATTGATTACACGCGAGTGCCTTTTCTTTTCTGTGTATTTCCAACCATCGGCGACTGATTTCTTCGGCTGTCGGTAAAACCACAGGATTATCTTCGTTGTTGCAATTATGATTGATGGAGACGACGTTTTGGGTACATCGCATGTTTGATATTGTCTTGATGATGCTGAATTTTTCATTGAACATGCTAAACATTGCCATTAACTTTCATTTTTCTCTTTTTCTTTGGCATCAGAGGAGCGGGACTTATTTTTTCCTGAAGCAACATAATCAATCTTTTCATTCTAACACAAAGAAAAAGGCTCAAATTAGCAAAAATTGTAAAATGTTTTTTTTCCCTATGCATGGTACATGTTTCCGTCAGATTTTCACAATCGGTCATAACTAATGTTTACTTCTATGCTAGGGATGGCACTTTATCTCTATTTTACTTTGAAAAAGTAAAGTAAATTAACTGAAGCTATGATATTCTGGTACAAACGTGAAAAATATAATGAGATCCAATTATGAAAACGATATATCTTGTTGATTGCTAAACAAATTCGGTAGTTTTTTACTTTAATCTTGTGTTGACTTCACTTACGTATATTGAAATACTACAGAAGATGTAAGATGCTCAGATCAGAAATTGACGAAAATTTGAACTATAACTATTTGCTTTACTGCGTAAAGTTAAGATAAATTGTCATCCCTACTCTATGCATCACTATATATCATAGTTCCTTTTTTCAATTCTATTTAATCTCAGATCCACATGATTCTAACCCGATACAGTGAAAAGCTTGATGAGTGTATTTTTCACAGATGGAGTGAATAGATACGAGTGTATGTATAGCTTTATGGGAGATATCATATATGTAGAAAGTTAGAGAAGCTGCAGACATCAAAGAATATATGTAAGTATATACTAATATTGCACACAAACTGATATTAAACTATATATATTTCCCCCATTTCATTAAGATACTCCGTATTTTTAATCAATTATACTAATAAGATCTAACGTATCCCAGCGTTGCACCTCTTGGTATCTCCTGATGAAAAAAAAAGTTTGCTTTTATTATTACCATAAGATACAAAATACACATGCTACTGTATCCTCTTTCTACTCCTTCCTAATTTCAAGAGATTTAGATTTGCTTAAATTTCGTTAACATCTACTCAGACGTACAGCATCTATTCGTGTGTACGTAAAGCCATGTGGAGAAATATTACAGTTTTAAAAACGAATCTTGGTTTATTTATACATGCACCACGCCAAGACCTCTCATCTCTCTTCTTATGTTTTATTTAAATTTTGAAAAATTATTCATTTCACTCTCATAGTTTCAGTACAATCTCCTTTCGTTTACGCTAACAATGAGTCTCACTATTTTGTATCTTTTGCTCTTTCTTCTTAAACGTAGCTATGATGCAAAAAGGAACTATATGTTTTCTCTTCTCTCCTAATGCGATGTTACCAGTTGTCGTCTTTTCTCAGTAGCTACAAATAGTTGTGATTGTGTTCTCTTCTATACATATCAAACCGCTAGGATGCCTATTCTAGGGTGTGAGTTTTCAGACGACAAGAACCCTTAAAACCATATCCACAAATCAGTAGAATACTGATAACCAAACAAAGACTTCGCTTAAAAATCAAGCTTTCACAGTCTCTTATATTCTCACTGCACCTAACATATTAATGAAATATGAGATTCATCTATCGAAAATACTTGAAGATCTTGACTCTTCAGTAGAATAAATTGGTCTCAAACTGCATGACATATTGACGGAGTTTAGCTGCTAAAATTATTTTTCTTACATTGATTTTAGGTGAATATCATTTTGTACCACTGATTGTGAAAACTTGCTTTACATTGAAAAAGCTAGTGAAAGAATCAAGCACTTTCGTTTCTTTTTTTTCTTTTGTTGTTGCTTAGTATACTTAACATACGTTTTTTTTACACTTCTATTTTGATTGTTTCGAATCATTGAACTGCTTGCGAATACATCAGAGAGAGCTGATTCTCGACGACATATTGGACATTCATTGAACTTCCATTGGATAGATCGTTGTTGAGCACACTCACGATGAAATTTATGATCACAACTTGTTGTTACTTCTATTTTGCCATCGTTACCCAATGAATTTTGACAAATGGAACACTTTCCAATCGCTGAAGACATTTTTTGCTAATTAAAACATAAAATTATGTTTCACATCAAGTATTTCTAAATGCACTGTTGCATGATCTTATTATTTGACGAAAACAGAATGACAGCACTTCTCAATTATTCTTAGCACGTCTTTGATGTTTTCGTCGAAAGTTTTGTTCTATTAGGCATTTTCTTTTCTATGACTACGAAAGGAACAACGCTGTTTGATCAACAAACTGTTAGTATTTTAAAAAGTTGGAAATTTTAACATAAAAATCGAGTCAACGTTGAGTAAAACAAAAAAAAGTTTGGTATTGCCATTTAACTACCTTCTGTTGCACAGTAGAACGAAAGGAAATAAGAAGTTCTCAAATGTGCAACGTAAAAATTCGAAAAATTTTGAATGAATGAAAATGAAAATTTGCCAAACAAAGTGCTTTTGCAAAACCTTATTCATTTAAAATGAAAAAACCAACAACTTGCCAACTGAATAATTTCAGGGTTGATTCCAAGGTTTCTTGTTTTAATTTAATTCGAAATATGCTGACAAAAAATAATTTTTATGCTGATATCTGGTAGTCTACTATTGCTTTGAATTCAGTAAATCAATTGGCAAGCAACTCTGATTCATTTATTCTGTTAAAATAAATCCATCTAATTGTAATATGAAAATATACTAGTTTCGCCGGTATAACCAGAATATCAATAGAATACTTTGCATATTTACTATCCTCGTATAGAAAATATAGAAAATTACTTTTCATTATTCAAAAATTGGTTCAATTTTATTCTTTTTTAGCTAGAAAGATCAAAACTCAAGAGAATGAAGGTCAATATTCATCTTGCTATTTTATTTGGTCTACTGAAATATTCACAAATCACAATTGTATTGTGAAATCTGACATTTTACATGGACTTTTAAAAGAATTTATTGAGTTTTAAGGAGTTTTCTAGTTGAAAATAATTTTGAAGATCGTGTCATAAAAAATTAATTTAAGCAAAATCTTGAAAAAATACACGAAAAATTTAACCTCATCGATATTTGTTAGAATATTTCATTTTGATGCAGCAACATCGTTGCTTGAATGATCGCATGTTGACTAATAGCTAAAGCATTAACAACTTGTTGGTTCTATTCATTTTAAGAATATATTCTATCCATTCGACTATTTAAAAAGTTTTAAATAAAAGTTTCATGGAAACTGGTACAAAATATACTCAAAGATAATTTTTATTGCACGAAAAAATCGCTGGATTACGAACTAAATCAAACTTTTGTTTCGGACTTAAAAAATCAACTGCTAATTCCTTTCTATGATAGGATATAATAATATATAAATATGAGACTAGAAAAAAATAATAGGAGTTAAAACTAAGCAACACTTTTTGATTTGTAAATATGTTCGTTAAAACTAAGTTTCCATTGCCTGGCGTACTACTGTATTGTTTTTTTACACTTGTTATTATGAACAATGCTAAATATAGAATTCGATTTTGTGCCTATCTCGTCAATATTAAAATAGTCTAATTGACTCTAGATTATTTCATAGTTCGTATATATTCTGTAGCAAGCCAAATATTCTAATTAGATAAAAGATCATGATATGTATTTATTGGAAATATTTCGTTGTATATATTAAATTAGCATTTATGTGAACGGTTTGAAGTTGAACATTTTATTTCAATCATGAAAATAAATTAGCATTGAATGTAAAAGAATGCAGATGTTAGAGGGGTCTTATACTTTTTTCGATGACATAATGATCAAATATACAATCAAAGTAAGAATTGAGCACACCATCTGCGAATACAATTTCATTATATAAAACTGACTTAGTTAAAATATTACAAAGAAAATTTATTTTCTTGTTATCTGTAAAATCAATAGGTATACTGAATGTTATGATTTATTCATGCAGAATGTTTGTTGTATCTCCTCGTGTATGTCTGTTCTATTGCGTTCAATGGGATTTATTCGGAAAAAAGCAATGAAACCAAATATTATCGTCACTAAAAATGTATTTATTAAATAATAATTAGAAAATGAACCAAGAATTACTATTTATCAGTTCTACTGTAGGTTAACAATTACTTATATGGTTCATGTTAAATTCTATTCATTTTTTATTAAATATTATGATCTACGAAAATTTCAACATTGTCACATAATGATCAAATTTTATCTAGAAACAAAGTAGAAATGTTTCCATGTATTTTTGTAATCGTGCATTAAACTTCTTCTCATTCAAGCTGAATGTACGTAAGTGTATAATGATCGTTAATGTCATGAACTTAATGGCACTCTTTTTATACTTTCTTCGATAAAAATATTGTGACAACACTGAATTATAAACAACATAATAATTATAAGAAGAAATCGAAATATTTCCGCCTCGACTGTTTCAAATGGATTAACATTTGACTTAGTGGCCGATTTTCACTCGAATTTAGTTTTTCATATCAGTTATGTTAACAAATACTGCTATGAATCATCATTGCTGATCTAAGTATAACGATATATTATCGTTTGTGTAGTATGAGAAATACAACGGAAGCTCAATAGACATTAAATCATCAATACCGTAATCAAATTCAGCGTTCCTTTATGAAGAGTTCGAAATTCAATCGAAGTTTACTTTTAATTTGAACAATCCTGTTAATTGATTCCTTTTTTTTTATTAATGCAATACTATTCATGACGTTTGCTTCGATGTTAGTTTAATTTTCTTTTATGACAACTGAAAATGATCTTCAAAAGTGTGTGTTATCAATTGATTTTTTTTCTTACTTCACAACGAGTGAAATTTCTACAGTGTGATTAATAAAACTTACTTGTAATAGTATTTCTTCACATTATTCATATAAAAAAGAAAGTTTCAATCGATTTCAATATTGGTACCAAAATTGAGTTTCTTCGAATAAATCCCATTGTAGGTATTTCATATTGTGATCTAAGTACACTTTTGTCACCTTTTCTACATATTCACAACATATACATATTATAGATA